CTCTGATACGATAGTTACCTTTCTTATATGATATATAAATATAGAAATAAGCATACTAACTTTATAGGTTTTGATTTTTATCGCATATGACCGAATTTTACAAAAATTTATAATAAGATTTTTTTTATTTATAATATTTAAATTTTGTTTATATTATTAATATGCATATATCTACCAATCGGACAATCGAAATATATATTATATATAAAGTTCGGCCTATCCTATGGTTAACAAAAGTTTAGTAAAACGATAACCGAAATGTTTATTAATGACTAAAGATTTTTATTTTATTTTTTTTGGGTGGGTCGATCATTAACACATTATTAGGAAAAACCAGAAAACTGAACGGGACCGAGGTGTATAGTAAAAGCACCCCACCAACCATATTTTTAAAAGTACAACGTCGGTTATTAATGATTAATCCAGTCGTTCACACCGATAAAAAATTCTAAATATATTTTTTTTTTCTGCGTAAATATTTACACAGAAATAATTAACATTAACTTTTGAACTGAAAAGGATTTTAATCCTTGTTTACTAAGTTAAATAAAAAAAAATCAGGTTCTAATAAAAAAAATGGTAACTTTTGATTATCACAACAATTTAAAGTAATTCACCACGTTTGAATTAAACTTTTTTTTTTTTTCTTAAAGAAAACCTTTGGTAAATCATATCGTAACTTTAGAATTAGAGATGTCCCGTACTACCAAAACTGAAAAAAACATACCATTACCGAATCAGTAATAAAAAAAGGGCACAAATCAAATCATTACCGAATATATAAAAAATATATAAAGGTAAATAACAAGTTTTCCAAGTTGTTTTTTTTTGTTTAAACATTTTTAAGTTATCATCGTTAAAAAAAAAAAAATGGATTTTGTAAATAACAGGTTTCGTGGGCGGTGCGGCAATAACAATTTATAAATTTAGGTTTTTTTTTTTTATTTTTTATTTTATCCATAAAAGAAATCCCTACATCTACAAATTTGGAAAGTGAGGTTTTTATTTTTTTCACGGTAGATTAGGACAAATTTTTTGATATTATATACACATTTGTAATAGTGTACGTGACAACATATGGAATAAACAACTACGGAATAAACTACGTATGGAAAAACAAGGTATAACTTATGGAAAAAAAAGAATATTTGTATATCTGTATATTTGCATATTTGTATATTTGTGTCATTGATATATATTTATATACCTCAGAATTGAACTAGGAATTTGAACTAGTAATTGAACTAGTAATTGAACTAGTAATTGAACTAGCAATTGAACTGGTAATTGAACTGGTAATTGAACTAGAAATTGAACTAGGAATGAACTAGAAATTGTATTAGAAATTGCGTACTAGGAATTGCGTACTAGGAATTGCGTACTAGGAGAAAGAAAATAATTTGTGAAAGAAGGTCAGATGATTTAATAAAATCTTATAATTGTTTATTTTATCAATAAATAGTTGTTCCCTTAATAATGGAGTACAAAAAAACATCAAAGTTCTAGTATAGGAATAATGAATGTATTTCAGTAGAAACAAAAAGAAAAAGTCAAGGCGTAAATAAAATAGATCACAAGATTTTGTTAGATCGTAAACATAATAATTATAATTTTAAATTGATAAGTTTTTTTTATGTTTATTTTAAAAAGAATTCAAACGGGAATTCTTTAATCTTATTTACGGATGAATAGTTATTCCTGCTTAAGAACAAGAAATGATGAGTTCTGGAGTCATTTGTCCACTGGCGTAAAAAATATAAACTTTAATAATTTAAAAGTATATATTTATGTAAAAACATATTTAAAAGTATACATTTAAAATTGTACATTTAAGATTGTACATTTAAAATTGTACATTTAAAAGTATTTAAAAGTACGCGTGTATATAAATTATATAAATTATATAAATATTGTGGGGTGGTAAAATTAATATTATAGGATGTGCTTACTTATTGCTATTAATGCGTAAAATGCAAAGCCTGGTACCTTTAGTTAAACTCGTATCATGTAAATCAAAAACGCATGTGAGCACGAACAAATTAATCATTTGCAGATCATCTTTGAATGGATCGTGGTTAAACGACATGTGGAATCCTAAAAACTTTAAGACTACACATTTGGATCGCTTTAAGAAAAAAAAAAAAGAAAGCATACATAGCATATAGCATATAGCATATAGCATATAGCATATAGCATATAGCATATAGCATACGTATAGCATATAGCGTACGTAGCATGTTTAAATAAATAGCATGATAACATATGTAACAAATAGCATATATATATACACATAATAGTATATGTATTATGTAGCTAAATCATTAACGGTAATTATGGAAATTACAATGTTATCATGTTACATTTACTCTTATAATATTCGGTGACCCTGTTTATAAATGCGTAACATTTTCTTTGATGCATTAGTTAAACGCGTACTTAATCCAGAAAGGAAATTTTTAATAATAAAGCTAAATAAAGAAAGTTGTTTAAGTTGTCATTCCATTTCATAATTATCGAGGTACGCACGTATAACTATCGAGATACGCGCGTACAGTAAGTACTTACGTACGTACCTATCTGTCTATAATCTGAAAAAAAAAAAAGAAAAAGAAAATTTTATATTTACGAAATGAATATATTTATGGAATGAATATATTTATGGAACGAATATGTTTATGGAACGGAATATTGATATCATTTTCATTTGCGCATTTTAGCATACTTAGCGCAGCACACTTGGCGGATATTTATACATATTTATTTATTCATGTTTAGTGTTATTATGTTCTTTGATCAATAAAATTTCTAGAATAAATTTAGGTATATTAAGAATTAAAGTTGAGAATTGTTTTTTTTTTTTTCTAAATTCTTAAAGATTTACGTACGTGTCACGAGTGTCCCCTAGGTTACTTTCTCTTCTTGGTAATCTATCAAAAGTAAAAAGTAAAAAATAAAATAAAAAATCATAATAATAATAAAAAATAAAAAAAAATAAAAAACAATAAGCCAAAAGATAAATATAAAAAAAATAAAGTAAAATAAAATATAAAATAAAAAATCGGATTACTATTCTTAAATTAAGCTATTTCATTTACTATTTCATTTACATGATTTATACATGATTTATACATGATTTATATATCGTTGGCACGGTGTTTCAGGGTCACCATTGGATATTTGTGGGAATTGGTTAATGATTTCTGCAAGCCTACAAGGAGATGAGATACCATATAAGAATCAGGTTTTTTTTTTTACGCCTGATTAGGTTATTTCAAAGGAAATCAGAGATTTGTTTAAATGATGAAACTTGATCTCTTTTTTTTTTCTGTGCATTTGAACTGCTGACAATTAAAACGATTAAATGAATTACCTTTAACAATCATCTGGTAACGATAAAATGTGAAAATAATGCTAAATGCATTATTTACTGTAACGTAAGGGTCAGACTAATTATTTTGATTAACAATATGCTAGGTATTTTTACGGGCATACACTTTTAGCTTGTTACTCTATGTCGTTATTATGTCGTTATTATGTTGTTATTATGTCGTTATTATGTTGTTATTATGTCGTTATTATGTTGTTATTATGTTGTTATTATGTAGTGGTGATCTCAACGATCTTATAGGTTTGACGATACGTATTTACGTCCGTATTTACGTCCATATGATATGTACATATCAATGTGTGATAAGTTTATAAATCTGGTTTACGAAAAGCGAAAAAAAAAAAACTAAAAAAGCGAAAAACGAATAAAATTAATCATTTTAAGCTGGTTATGTAGTTAATGATCTTTTTTTTACGCTTAAACATTCATGGGTAACAAAAAAAAAAAATCCTATTTTTAAAAAAACTTATATGTAATAGCTTTGTCGATCACTCAAATTAAGAAATTTAAGCCATGTTTAAAATTATCCCCTACGGAAAAAAAACTTTTTTTATTAAATGCAGTACTAAAGGAAATCATCATTAATAACGCAAAAAGGTGGCGACAAATCAAATGCAGAAATTTTATTAGGGAGCATAACAAATTTAAGGAGTTAACCCGAGTCTTGTTCTTCGTTTTTGTTAATTAATAACATGTTTATATATATTTACAGTATGTTCACTTTTCTTAGTTAATAATAAATTTGTATTAACGAATAAAATTAATACGTATGTATAGTATGTCTTATAAGTTCAACATCATTTGAACTTGATGTACGACTTGGCTCGATCAAATGTAATCTACATGTATCGTAACATGCTTGCACGTACGTAAAAAAAAAATATTAGTATTTTATAATTAAACAGAGTTCCGTATTTGGGTAACAATCAAGTTTCCATTGCGGATATAAAGGCTGATAATCCTGGATTTTTTTTTTTTTATACATATACTTTAAAGTATTTAAAATTGTACTAAGCGCCTTGATCAAATTTTATATATATATATGTCTTAAAAACATCCATCAAAATTGCGATTTCAGTTGTTTCTTCGGTTTCGACAAGTTTCAACTTTACGTTTTCTTTTAAGTACGTTATATCTTTCGTATCTAGCTTCTAGATACATCATAACCTTCACCATTCATCGTAAAAAGATTTAAATTCTAGCAAAATATAAAATTGAAAAAAAAAATCTTTACGTTCATGATTAACGACACTTAAAACGAAAAAAAAAAAAAAATTACAAAAAAAAAAAAAAAATCCTTTGATTTGATTCATATATCAAGCATATATTTATCATTCAACGGTTATAAATACACTTTAAAAAAAAAATAACGAAATCTGTTAAATATCACTGTCAAATACACGCAATTATATATATATATATTAATACACAATATAGATTTTTTAAAGATTCCGAGAATCTTTCTATATAAATTTTTTTTTAAAAACTTTTTTGTATAAACGTTAACCACTCAAGCACTACTCAAACAATTACTCAAACAATAACTTAAAACAATTACTCAAACAATAACTCAAGCAATAACTCGAACAATAACTTAATATAAACAAAAAACATGGGCCTTCCAGCACGCAGAAAGCGCGTTATACTTCCTATGTATAAGGTTACTGACCATACACCGTCCGTTTATAACGATCCATTTTCAAATAGATTGATACCCGTAGGATACTTTTTAAACAACCTTGATGAAATCGGACCGGCTCATTGGAACAATCCACAATCGGCAGATTATTCTTTAAAGATAATTAAACCTCAAGAGGTTGATTATTTTTGTACCTTTTTTAATCAATTTTGCGAAAAAAACAATATATTAAATAGGAATTTAAATAGCTTACACTGTATAGTGAGAAGCAATTGGATAATTAATCAAAACATGACTCAACAACAATATGGATCTGAAAATGAATGGCAAGAGAATTTACTGGACTGTCAAACATTACCTGTCGCCTGTAGTGATGAATTTTGTTCCGCTGCTGATGCTGCAGCCTTAACAATTTATTTCAATGCCGCTATGATTAATTATAAACAAATAATGAGTCATAGTATTCAACGTTATGATGATCAAGTTAATAACGTAATGCCTTCACCACCTTCATCACCAATAGTTGATTCACATAATTCACCAAGTGATGATGATTCAGCTACAAATATTTCAAATTTATCCATTCAAAAAATTTCACCATCGTCAGGATCGCCACCCGATTATTATTTTCATATTCATACTTTGATATTGGCTACCCAATCGGGGTACTTCAACCAATTGTTCGGTCCGATAAACCTCCATTCATCTTCTTCACAATTACCCAATACATTATTTGTACCAATCCCGTATCCCGAATGTTTTGGTACTATATTGCATTGGTTATATCATCATGACGATGATGCTTGGTTAGATGATATAACCGAAGAAAATTTTGAAAAATTTTATTGGAATATAAGATTTTTAAAATTGGGTAAAGAAGCTTATGATGTTTTGGATGAATGGATCGATGAGCGCTTGGAAGATGGAATTAGCTTCGATTGTTTTGAAAATACAGAAATCATTCAAGATTGGTAAAACAAAAATAATAATAAATAATAATTCTCAAAATTCTCATAATTCTTCGATATAAACTGAAGTTTCGGAAAGTGAGATTTGGCAAGTATGATTCGAAAAACGAGATTGGTGCGTACAGCAGATGTCTTGTCAGATGAAGATGAATTTTTTTTTTTTCTTTTTTTTTTTTTTTTAAACAAAAAAAAAAAGAATTGGAAATCACAAACACCGCTAAAAAGATCGAACGAAGTCGATCTATACCACTATGTATGCTATTTGCGGATTCCAGAATAATGCGCATTACCAACCAAAGTATTAGCATTGATTCAAAAAAAAAGAATCCAAAATATGTTTACGAAGGAAAAAAAACATTTGAACAATATATTGAAGACCAAAACACAGAAGCAAAAAAAAAGCTCGACAACAAATATTTCCCTAAGCCACGTTTGGATGAATAAATTTTTTTTTATCTTTAAACGCTAAGCAGATATTTAGAATCATTTATTATACTGTATATAGTGTACCTGACCATTTGAGAAACACACGCCATGAAACTCATGAAACTTTATTAAAATGTTAACACAGAAACCTTACGATACATAATATTTATTTTTTCGTTTTTTCTTTTATGTTTATATATATATTTTTTTTAATAAATTTTGATCCTTTTTTTTTTTACAAGTAATTTAACAACCTTTTCTTATGTACTAAATTTTATATCTCTTTATACCTTTAAGGGTTTTTTTTTTAAAGCAAGTCTTAATTAATACTTAAAGTAGTTTTTTTTCTCCTGAAAATATAAAATTGACCGAAAATTAAATAAATCAAATAAATCAAAATAATCGTGAAATACAATACATAAATAAGTGAAATTTTAAGAATTTCATACAGTGTACGTACGTACGTACGTAATCTTTATTATTTTATTGTTATTTGAACTTTGCATTTATTCATTGTGCCTATTCAAATGCTAATATACGGACGTGCTTTTCCGTATCCGGACGTTCTCCGGTCAAGATTTTTTTTATACTCGGAGATCTAAAGTTTAACTTTTTTTATTTTTACATGCTTAATTAAACTAAAATTTATAAATTACATAAATTATAAATTATAAATTACAATTTATAAACTACAATTTTTTTTATATGGAGTCCACGCCAATCTTAATATAAATTACAAAATACGTATTAAACTCTTTAATAAGTAATAATTTCCTGTTAATCACCGAGTATGGAAAACATCATGGGATTTATTCATTTGTAAACCTATAAAGGGATGGGGATTATGTTAAACTATTGTTTTAAAAAAGATTTAAAAAGATTCGTTTCAAGAATTTTTTTTTTTTACTTTCTTATTTTAGTTTGAATGAAAACTCCTTTTATGACAGGTTGCAACATCATAAAATATCATAAAACTCAAGATTATCAAAATGATAATTATTTTCGTAAATTTATAAAAAAAAAAAGTTCTTGTTCCCCGAAATTAGTAGCTGTCAAAACCCTATTCCAAGATTACTAACACTAACTCCGTTAAACACAATTACATAATAAAAAATCATGAGAACCACCATTATTTCAAACGCGCGAGAAAAATAATAATAATCATAATAATAATAATAAATCATACGGGTTTATCTATTAGAATAAATAAAACAAGTCACGGAATTACGATGTGAATTTGGTTAGGGTTTGGTACAAAATCTAAAGTTTATCGGTTCTTCATGCCCAAATAAGGAAAGTTAATATCCGTTTTTAATAATTCTCTATTAAGCATTTAAGAACCAATTACGTGATTTTATCGTTAAAATTTCTTATGACCTCATTTTTAATCATTACACTACAACATTCACATCGTAATTCCGGGACTTGTTTTATTTATTCTAATAGATAAACCCGTATGATTTATTATTATTATTATGATTATTATTATTTTT